GTAGCTGGGATGATGGGCTCAAGTATAGCAGGGATCATGGAGCTGGTGCAGGATTGGGCAGTGTTTCGTTCTGCTGTGCATGAGGTCGGTTATGAGTCGGAAATGACTTGACGGCACCTAACAACAACAACAACATACTTATAGAAGCATATGTATCTACCTATGTAATCACAAAAACTTTTTTTTAAATTGTTATTACTATTGTTGCAAAATGTGTATGTTGTAGCTTTTACTAAAATCGTCCCTATTCTTGGTGCTTCTTAGTGTCATCTTTTACACTGGGCAAGTTGTACCAACTTCATCCTTATGCGGTATTGTCTTCCCATTACCAAAGTAATAAGTATCTACTATTTAGAAAATAGTCCCTCTCCTTCTGCCTCCCATACCTGTTAACCATCAAAAAATAATGCTTTCTGTGTGTGTACCTATTCTTGTCTTTAAATAAAAATGTGATCATATAGCATTTGTCCTTTTGTGCTTGACATATTTCACTCAACTAAAGTTCTACAGATTCATCCACGTTATATTTTGAGAACCTATCATTATGCTTTATGGCAGTATAGTATTCCATTGTATGTTTGTTTATCCATTCATCTGTTCTTGGGCAGTTAGGTTGTTTCCATCTGTTTGCTATTGTGAATAATGCTTCAACAAACATATCTTTTTTATTTCTTATATTCTGGTGGATGTTTTAGGGCTGGATGAAGGTTGGGAATGCTCTATGGTGAGCAGAGAAAAGCAAATTATCTTTTAAAACTACTAGAGTGTATAGTTTTCTTACATATACAACTGGTCCTCAGTTCTGTTGAGGCTCTTTGGATTTAATACCTGCCACTGCTTCCCCCCTTTCAGCCTTTTTCCCTCTGATTCCTCATCTTTTTCCTTAGTTCTGATGTTTATCATTATACCTACAATATGTATTTTTAAATCAATTTAAATGATGCCCTCTGACTTCTGGCAGTAAAAGAGGGGGAAATCCACATACTTATACAACCTCCCAGATTTTCTCCCTCCATCAGTACCCAGTTCTCTTTTATCATTTCCACATTGTCATCATTTATAATGCTCATCTTCTCTTATAACACTAAGTTTAGTCTTTTCCCTACAGTGAGATGAATTAACCTCTCACTGCCAGTCCTCTTGCCTGCTTTTCCTCATCACTGCCTACTTTGCTGCAGCATGTTCTCTACTGCTTTCCTCAAGAACATTTGTCACTCTGGGCCCCAAGTTCTTTCTTGTTCAGAAATATTCATTTGTTGTCTTTATCCATGCATGACAGTTTAGCCGGACATAAAATGCTCCCATCATTCTTTCCTTCCCTGAGGGCTTTGTAGGCACTGATCTGCTTTCTGCTAGCATCAAATGCTGTCCTGAAAAATTTGAAGCCAACCTGATGTCCTTCCTCCTTATAGGGTACTTGATCACTGATCTTTTTGCTTCAATGTCCAAGTCTGGGAAATTTACTGAGATATATGTCTGTGTTTTTGCTCTGTTTCCTTTTCTTGAGACAGAGTCTGACCATTCATTCTGAAAATTCAAGCCTTCTTTTATTTCAATAATGTTTTCTTGAATTATATTAAAACTTTTTTTTTTTTTAAACTGTTCCATTTGTTGACTCTTCCTCAGGGTTATAATTATGAGCATATTAACTCTCCTTTGTCTTCTATCTCTATCACTTTTTCTCTTTTTTTTTTTTTCAGATTTCTCAATCCTGTATTTTCAGCTGAATCTATTCTTTGTGCTGCTTCCAATGAGGCCTTCATTTCTGAATCATTGTATGTTTTTTTTTTTTTTTTTTCTTTTCCCCTTCACTTATTTCTTCTTCTGGTTCATGTTATATCTTCTTCAGTTAACTCACACGGGCCTTGCATCTCTTGCTTAAAGTGGTAATTGTTTCATTACATTTCTTTTTTAAAAAGTTTATGATGACAAATTTGGTCACACTTTTTATCTGCTTTGTGACAGTTTTTTTTTTTTTTTCCCCACGAGTTTTCTTGACTTGTCATCTTTTCCCATGTTCTTTTCCTTCTTTATTTCTCCTATAGCATCTTTATATAAATCCTGTGCTGGTTCCTTTTTGAAAGAGGTGAACCTTTTTGGATCAACATTTTGCAGGCAATGCATGTCAGGGAAGTGCCAGGGAAGTATTTTAGGAGAGCATGATTGCTCCCTGGTTCACACTAAACTTTGTTCACAGAATGGTAGCAGCAATTTCTTTTAGCTGTTGCTTGGAGTCAGCAGAGATCTTCAGCAGTAAGTTTATTCCCTCCCACTTTGCCTCATCAACATATGGCTTCCTGTAAAGATGGCAGGCCTGTGGTTTCCTCTGTTAGTCCTACTCTCTTCTTCCTCCAAGAAAGAGTGCCAAAGGCAGCTCCCACTGCCGAACCTCATACCTTGTTCCCATTGTTCTGAGAAGAAATCCTTGGTTTTTCCTTCAGGGAGATCCAGCTACTGACTGGCTCTGTCAGATTTCTCTGAGATCTATAGCTACCTGTCTTCTAGTGGTGTTTCTTACTCCTCATTTGATTTTCACTGCTTTTGGCAGCCTTTTTTGTTTTTGGCAGCTTTCCTTAGAAGCTGTGGTTCAGGTTACAGAGGTCTTCCAGTTTTGCTGAAGATAAAGTTTGCTTTTCTGTTTCTTTTTCTCTTTTGTGGGTGATTTTGGATATAAAAAGGATTTACTTTATTTTGCTATCTTGAAACTGTCTAGTGTTGCAAATTTCTATGTGTTCTGGTATTCCTTCAGCTTAAATATTCGTCAGAGTCCTCTGGATAGAGTTGGCATGAACCAAAGCTGAGGTCTGGCAACAGAAAGAAGAAAGAAAATGAGAGTTGAAACTAAAACTGGTGGGTTAAAAAAATAAATCTACAGATTACCAGTCTGTGCTGTGTGGCAGCAAGCTCCTTTCCCTGCCACCTGGACTTCAGCTGATGTGTGCCGCTGTTTGGGTGGCAGGTCATGGCCAGGCAGGGCAGGTCATGAAACAGCCTGTCCTCTGTCTGCCTCAGTAGAAGTTATCCTGAGCCCAGAGGCTCTCAGGCCAGAGAGCAGAGGGGAGGGTATATACCTCTGCTCTGGATAGACTGCAGGGCCCTGCTCCTCAGTTCCTGCACACCTAGGATCTGTCAAAGCAATCCAAACACCCTGGGTTCTGACTCATCCTCCAGTGATGGTGGCCATTCTTCCTCGCAAAAAAAACCACGATCCCATCTCTAGGGAGGATTTTTGGGGATAAATGCTGCTGTTGTTAGTTGCCTTCAAGTCAGTTCCAACCCATGGTAACCCCATGTGTGCAGAGTAGAACTGAGGCAGATTGCCAGGCCTGTCTTCCAACGCATCTGTGGGTGGGTTTGAACTGCTTGGCTAGCAGCTGAGCGTGCAACCATTGCACTGTTTATAAGCACAAAGAAAGATCCCATCATCCAAAGGAAAGCAGCCAATGGGATGTCCAGAAAACAGACCCAGAGAAGAAAACCAGCTTACTAAGTCTCAAGCCAGGGGACTAAACCCAAACTTGGCCCATTATAATATTGCCTTTCAAACCTCCACCCTGAGAAAGGTGTTTTATTCCCAATTTACAAAGGAGTAAATTGCCATCTCAGAGAGGCTAAGAGCCCTTCCTGTAGATACATAGCTAAGAGTTGAAAAGTGAGATTTGGATGGAGCTCTGGCTGGACACCAGTTTCTTTATCTTGTCTTCATCCCACCTTCCCATGGAGCCCCCACCCCATCCTCAGATGACCACCTTATGTCCATGTTCCTGGGTGGCCTTGCTGGATGCTCACTTGTTCTTAAGCTTGGCTGCAATTCAGAATGCTATCCAAACTTCCCAGGGCAGCTGGGGTTGGGAGCCAATGGGCCACAAACTACATGTATGCATTCTGCATGTGTTGAGCAACTTTGTTTTCCTCCCTCCCCTTAGCCTTGGCATGGGTTTTGTCTACAGGTGTGATGTCCTGATGAGTAATCTCTGCTTGAGCCTTGGGATCAAATGCACCTAAGTTCTCTTCCAGGTTCTGTGATCTTGGGCACAGTCCTTACTCTTAAATAAGATCATCTATGATTGCTCTACATGTGGAACATGGACTCTAAAGCCAGCTGGCCTTGGTTTGAATCTTGGCTCAGCCACTTATTAGCTGTGGGACTTTGGCTAATTACATATCTTCTCTCTGTTCTTTTAGTTTTCTTATCTGCAAAATGGCAATAATGTATATATCTTATAGAGAGCTCCTAAGAATTAAATGAGTTCATAAATGTAAATTGGTTAGAACAGTTTCTAGCATAGTACAAGTGCTAGATAAGCACCAGATATTATTATATTAATTATTATTAATACGTGTAAAGGGCTCAGCTGAGACACGAGCATAAATGGAGGGATAAGTAATTGGCTGCTGATACTGCGGCTAAAACCCATGTCCTTTGCTTCCTTCTAGGAGCTTGCGCCCCTGCCCCAGCCTGGTAGAGGCTGTGGAGGTGTACCATCCAGAAGCCTGGTCCCCAGCCCTGTGGCCCATCCCTGGCTGCGGGGAGTGGAGGCTCCCTCAAGGTAGCAGTAGCCTGCAGCCGTCCCTTCTCCCCAGCAAACCATGGGACAGAAGCTCTCAGGGAGCCTCAAGTCCGTGGAGGTGCGCGAACCAGCTCTGAGGCCGGCCAAGCGGGAACTGCTTGGGGCAGAGCCTGGGCGACCGGCGCGGCTGGACCAGCTGTTGGACATGCCAGCGGTGGGGCTGGCTGTGCAGCTGCGGCATGCGTGGAACCCGGAAGACCGCTCGCTCAATGTCTTCGTCAAGGATGACGACCGGCTCACTTTTCACCGGCACCCGGTGGCCCAGAGCACTGACGGCATCCGCGGCAAGGTGGGCCACGCCCGTGGCCTGCATGCCTGGCAGATCAACTGGCCAGCTCGCCAGCGTGGCACTCATGCTGTAGTTGGTGTGGCCACAGCGCGTGCACCCCTGCACTCAGTGGGCTACACAGCACTGGTGGGCAGCGATGCTGAGTCGTGGGGCTGGGACCTGGGCCGCAGCCGCCTCTACCATGACGGCAAGAACCGGCCCGGCGTGGCCTACCCCGCCTTCCTGGGACCCGATGAGGCCTTCGCCCTGCCAGACTCGCTGCTTGTTGTACTGGACATGGATGAGGGCACGCTCAGCTTCGTAGTAGATGGCCAGTACTTGGGTGTGGCCTTCCGTGGGCTCAAGGGCAAGAAGCTGTATCCAGTGGTGAGTGCCGTGTGGGGCCACTGCGAAGTCACCATGCGCTACATCAACGGCCTTGACCGTAAGTGTGCCTGGTGGTGGGACAGGGGATTGCAGGAGCTGATGGTCCACTGAGGAATTGGGGGGGTGGGAAAGCAGGTGAGGCCACAACTCCATCAGCACTTGGGATAATCCTGCCACCCCGGGTCATGGTTAACATTTGGACTTTGGGACCAGAGTCCTGAGTTTGAATATTGACTCTCTTTCCTTGGCCTAGTGATCTTGAGCAAATTACTTTATTTCATTGTTGTAAAAATACATATAATGCAACATTTGCCAATTTAACATTTTCCACATGTACAATTTAGTGACATTGATTACATTAATCATGTTGTACAACCCTCACCAATAAGCATTGACAGATTTTCCATCACCATAAACAGATACTGATTGTTCTCCTGAACAGTGTCTTCTCTTCCCCCACCCTCCCACCCCTGGTAACCTCTAATAAAACTTTGGTCTCTATACCTTTGCCCATTCGAGATAGCATATATAAGTGAGAAAAAAAAACTCACTGCCATCGAGTTGATTCAACTCATAGCGACCCCTCCTTGGGTTTCTGAGATGGTATCTCTACAGAAGTAGATTGCCCAATCTTCCTTCCAAGAAGTGGTTGGTGGGCTTGAACCACCAGCCTTCTGGTTAGTAGTCAAATGCCTTAGATGCTATGCCACCATATAACATGTGTCCCTTTGTGTCTGACTTATTCCACTCAGCATGTTTTCAAGCTTCATCCATGTCATAGCATGTATCAGGACTTCATTTCTCTTTATGGCTGAGTAATATTCCATTGTATGTATGTAACACATTTTGTTTATCCATTCATCTGTTGATGGACTATTGGGTTGCTTCCATCTTATGAACATTGTGAATAGTGCTGCAGTGGACACTGGTGCACATGTGTCCATTTGTGTAGCTGCTTTCAAGTCTTTTGAGTATTTACCTAAGAGTGGAATTTATGACATTAAACGTATGGTAGTTCTATGTTTAATTTTTTGAGTAACTGCCAAACTTTTCCACAGTGGCTATACCCTTTTGCATTCCTACCGGCAATGGATAAGTGTTCTAATTTCTCCACATCCTTGCCAACATTAATTTTTTTTCTTATCTTTTTATTTTAATGCTTATCTCAGGACCCAAATGTTTTGTTTTATTTTATAATATATAATACATATACCAAATTCAATAGTAAAAAGTGAATTTTCACTTTCCAGAGGAAAATAAATCTTCCTTTACTGCTTTTCCCCCACTCTCCCTGTTCTCTTCTCCAGATACAATTAATGACACTGCTTCTTGTATATCCTGTTGGAAATATTCTCTGAATACACAAGCATAAAAACGTATACAAATGGAAGCATGCTATCTATACACATTGTTCTACACCTCAGGGTTTTTGGGGGAACTACAAAATGTACTGTATTTATATGTTATTCTTTTTCCAAAATTGCCACAAAGGCTGAATTTTTTTTTTTTTAATTGTGATTTGGGTGAAAGTTTACAGAGCAAATTCATTGTCTATGTAGCGGTTCATACATATTTTGTTTTATGACATTGACTGCAATCCCCATAATGTAACAGCTCTCTTCCCACTTCTTCCCTGTGGTTACTTTTTCCCTGGGTCCTTCTTTCCTATGCATTCCTACTCTCTGAGCTATCTCCCTGTGCAAATACTGCCCTTCTGATCTCCCATAGTTGATTGTTCTAAGGAGTGTACCTACCTGATGTAAATGATCTCCTTATATGCCTGTCTATTGTTTGGCTGGAAGCCACTGTAGTGAGTTCAGTTCCAGTCCTGAAGGGTGACTTGGGGCCATAGTCTTAGGGGTTTTACCAGTCTCTATCAGACCAGCAAGTCTGGTCTTTTTTATGATTTTGAGTCTTGTTTCACATTATTCTTTCACTCTATCCAAGATCTCCTGCACTGATCCCTTTCCGAGTGGTTGATGGGTAGCGGGGCACCATCTAGTTCTTCTGGTCTCATGGTCTTATAGGCTGAGGTTTGCATGGTCCACTAGTCCCTTGGACTAATTGTTTCCATGCATCTTTCTTCATTCTCCTTTGCTCTGGATGAGGAGAGACCTATTGTTGCATCTAGATGACCACTTGCAAGCTTTTAAGACCCGTCCCTACTCACCAAAGTAGGATGTAGTAATATGGTATGCCAATTAAGCTTGATGTCCCCTGTGACCATGGTCCCAAGCCCACAAGTCCAACACCTTGTTTTTTTTTCTTTTTTCTATCTTAGCCATCTTAGTGGGAGTGATGTGATAGTTCATTGTGGTTTTGATTTGCATCTCCCTGGTCACTTTGAGTCAGAATCTACTCAACCAAAAACAACAGTGGTTAATGGTATTAAGCATCTTTTCATGTGCTTGTTGGTGAAATGTCTATTCAGGTCCTATGTTGGGTAAATCATTTAACCTCTCTCTGCCTCGATTTTCTCACCTGTGAAAGTGGCACAGTGATGGAGGCTTGAATAAGATAATATATGCAACAGTGTTTAGAATAGTCACTGACATCTAATAAGGGCTTTAAGTGTTAGTTCTGATTATGAATCCTTTAATCTGTATTAGGGTACAAAATGATGTCTTCTGTGTGCCCAGCCTCAAGCTACTCACAGAGGGAGGAGAGTAACAAATAGAAGACAATCCCTGGACTTGAATGCTAGTCATTCCGGTTACTAATAAGTCATAAGTAACAGTAATAACAAATACCTTCATGGACCATCTACTGTATGTAGAGGCTGAATATCCACATTCCAGCTTTCACTGGTGAACTGACTACAAGGGCTGTACTGTCTGTTAAAGGGACAGCTGTCTCTCACTTCCAGCTGATTATCACCTCATGAGAACAAGAGTTCTGGGTTGTAGAATCTTCTGAATTTTTCAAGAGAACCAGAAATTTAGATGTTGTGTGAACTATCACAATTTTTAAAGTTGAAACATGCTGTGGTCAAACAAAACACCCTAGCTTACACATAAGCCAACAGGCTGCTAAGCTTGACCCTTGACAACTCTAGGCTTCCTCTCATTTAGTCTGCACAGCCACCTTACAAGCAGCTTAAAACTCATAGTGACAACAGTGACTCACAGTGGTCTGTGGATAGAAGCCTGCTCAGCTCCTTGTCCTGGGTGGAATCCCAGCAGAGCAGGGCCTGGAGTCCCACACTCACGAGCCCTCACACTCCCATGTGTCAGGCAACCAGCACCAGGCAAAACAAACTTCCTGCCACACTCCTAATGAAGCTCACAGAGGCCGTGATTAAAGCCAAGATAAGAGTATGTTGTTGTTGTTGTTGTTATGTGCCATCGAGTCAGCCCTGACTCATAGCGACCCCTCCTTGGGTTTCCGAGGCAGTATCACTACGGAAGTAGGATTGCCCAACCTTCCTTCCGAGGAGTGGCTGGTGGGTTTGAACCGCCAGCCGTCTGGTTAGCAGGCAAGTGTCTTAGCCACTATGCTACCAGAGCTCCCAAGATAAGAGTATACTCATTTTAAATGAGAGATATAATTGTCAGCCAACAAGATGGCTTCTAGATTTCTGTTTCAGAGATAAGGAAACTGAAGGGCAGAGCTAGAAAGAGCCAGAATTGGAGCTGACCCAGGTCTGTTGGCCTCTGAGGCCCACTCTTTTCCTCTCCTCCCCTCTTTAGTTGAGGGAATGAGTCCAAGACTCCAGGAAAAATAAAAAATAAAGGGTAAGATTTGACTCAAGTAAAACATGCAATTGCTCAAGTGTAGAGTGGATTGAGGGTTTTTTAGGATGAAAGGCCAACAGAAAGTGGCTGGTATGCCCAGCTCACTGGTATAATTGGAGACTTTCTTACTAATACTATATTTTTAAGCCTGTTGGGCCAAGAAGGTTATTGAAATGCAAATATTGTTTTGTTTACCTATTTAACTGGTTACATTTAGGAACAAATGAAGGTGTTCTGAGAAAGGCTAGTTTCACTGTTGCTTGTGGAAGGATGTCTGAAACCTTCATAGACATGGTAACTAGGCAAACCCTAGTCCTCAGAAAACCAACAACAACTCTTTATTTAATGGAAATGGAACTAGGCAAACCCTAGTCCTCAG